TATTACTATACTATTATAGGTTATAATTAACATCAGAGCCTAAACTATTGCTGTATATTCAACTGCAGTTTATATTCCGATATAATAATCACACTCAAATCAAAATGAAACGTTTGTATGCAACATACATACATAATTGACAGTAAGTAAACTTCTCCCTAGTGTTTTTTGTAGCTAACTAACCAAGTGTGAACACTGGTAATTTCCTGAGGTAAATGTTATGTGACATATTGTTCACATGCTGTTATATTGACATCTTTCCGTGGTTATAAAACTATCCGAGACGTAATATGTTTCAGTAAGTTGTACTGTGTCTTTTAACAACCTCTGACGTTCATCCATGTTTATTTTGCACAACAGACACTGATTACCCCATAATGCTCATAATGTCAAACTGACTAATTCATGTCAAGTTTTGAGTGCAAATTCGTTTTTCTGTCCTCACGGAAAGTGAAAATGCTGCATGAAGTCACAAATTTACAAATAATCATATTTCATTTGTTTATTATACAAAGTAGGACATGAATCTGGCTTCAAAATTGCCTCATCCAGTTAGAATCAATGTATATTTCTGAGAAACACATGACAAGTTGCTGCATTACGTTACAACTATAAACTACAGTTATAATGAACTTAGACTATTGGCTACGTTGCATTATTTTAATCATTAATAGTACTAATTGTAACTATGTATTGTTCTTCATTGTTCACAATCAGCAACTAAAACTAAATCCATGAAAAAAAAATTTTTTTTGGTAATTGAAATAAACCTGAAATAAAATAAAATACAAATATTACATGGAAAGCAAAAACTTAAATGAAAATTAGACACTTATTGATTTTCATTATTATATTATATTACAGTATAGTATATTATATTATATTAATATGATATTATATCAATAAAAACAGTGACTGAATTAAATTTTTATTTAAAAAAAACAAACTCAAGAATATGTAATTAGAAATAATAAAAATAAAATTATGAAAAGCACATAAATAATAATAATAAAATAACGCTCCACTGTTGATGGATCGACCAGTGAGCCACAATAAAAATATAAACCAAACAAAATGCCTTGCCTTGCAATGATTTTTCATCGTGGCTGTTTATAGGATATGGTGTTAAATGAATCTCATAGGCCAGACCAGTGTCTTCATCGTGCTGGTTTCCAACCTGAAGTTAATCTTCTGTCATACACAAAACACACACTTCTCATCTCCAGGCCACCGCGCTAAATGAGTTTCAGTCCGGTACTCCAGGGGGCAGGTTACACTGGACCTCTACTTCAGTGTGCTCATTACCTCATTCAAACACAGATAGCGCTCTCGCAGATTTGATTTGGCCATTATAGGTACAGCGCCGGAGGCCTCGTCCTCCTATTGAGTTTCCGTAACTTGTCCTAACACAGTTTTTACTGGCAGCGAGGTGACATCAGTTTTTAAGTGGACAGCAGGTGGATGGCGATATCAACCTTCAAATGTGAAAGAAACTACTTGTAACTAGAGATGCACCGATGCTACATTTCTCCAATAGCTGATTATTCAGAATGACTTCTACTGATACACTTTAAAAAAAAAAAAAATGATACAAATTTAAATAAAACCAAGATCATTAGAGTATGTTTTACAAGAAAATTATTAATAAAATAATGTTTTCTACTTCAAAATGTCATGTTTAATTCAATGTGTTTCTTGCCAGTTCTTTGTAATTAATTGTGAAATTTACTTGCAAAACTATACAGGAAACCCTCTCATTTGGTATATTACTATACTATTATAGGTTATAATTAACATCAGAGCCTAAACTATTGCTGTATATTCAACTGCAGTTTATATTCCGATATAATAATCACACTCAAATCAAAATGAAACGTTTGTATGCAACATACATACATAATTGACAGTAAGTAAACTTCTCCCTAGTGTTTTTTGTAGCTAACTAACCAAGTGTGAACACTGGTAATTTCCTGAGGTAAATGTTATGTGACATATTGTTCACATGCTGTTATATTGACATCTTTCCGTGGTTATAAAACTATCCGAGACGTAATATGTTTCAGTAAGTTGTACTGTGTCTTTTAACAACCTCTGACGTTCATCCATGTTTATTTTGCACAACAATTTGCATTAAATTTGAAGACACTTCCTCTTGAACTGAGGTGCTAAAGCGCCACATTTAATGAACCAAATTTAGGAGCTGAGACTTTGTTTCTAATCAGCAGTAACAAAGCACAAAGCTGTTTGCGATCAATGGATGGGAGCTGCGCTACAAATAATGTTTGGTGAAGGGAAAATGCGCATACCTGGCAACCCTGGCTTGAGCTATGGGTAATTCATATAGTCAAACAGAAACTGCGTTCTGTTATTTTTTAAGTGCGATTGTGATAAAGCGTTATAATCACGTTAACTTTGACAGCCCTAAATTCAACACGAGAGGCATTTTCTTTACCCACCGTATGAGTTGCAGTCTGACACATTTTGATTGACAGCATATAATCGGCCCTGATCAACTGTTTTTAAACAATCGGCAGAAGCAGTTTTTATCGGCCAATACCGATTATCAGCCGATATATCGGTGCATCCTTATGGTTCAAGCGATGAACCTGATGAACCGAAAGGTAGGATAAAATCAGAAAGGGAAATTAAAACTCCCACAATGCACACACACACATGAAAATATGCTGATGTTAATTTCCAAGTGTTTCCCAGACTATTATCGTGAGTCATAAATGCGCACAATTCTAGCACGGCCAATAGGATTTCCTCAAGCGGAATGCAGAGAGAGAGAGACAGTCGGTGGCATTGTAATTGCATTAGCCTGTGACAGAGAGAAAATGCTCATTGTTGGTAAATAAGATTGGGCTTATGAGAAAGTGTGGAAACATTCAGTCTTGCTGGGAAAATCCGACATCTCTTCTCGGCCCTGGACTACTGTCAATCAAACAACTGACAGATAGATGTCAGGGGTCAGAGGTCAACTCTGACCTGGGGTGGTGAGGAGGTAGGGCACTTAAACACTTAAAAATGCTCAGGTTTTTGTGATGGGGCATCCCTGGAGTCCCAGAGCGCATCTGGATCTGATGAGATGGGTGGGTACCAAAGACAGAGGTCACCCTACAGGAGGCTTTCCCCTGTCCACACCAGCCTTTCCTCTTATTCCACTGCCGTTCCCATTCCTGAGGATCTCCTTTCCCTTAACAGCACTTAGAAGGACACACGTGGTCTATTAGACACAAAAAGACTCATTCAGTTCAGCCCACCAGGCCTGGCCTTTGAAAAACTCCTGAGAAAGAGGGAAGGCAGAAAGAGGCGTTTGGCGAAGATCAGAGTGATGTGAAGAAGAAATCACTCCATTCTTCTTGGGAAGGTTCCCCACTGGCTGTTTTAGGGAATCTGTGCATTGACAAGCTTCTTCAAGGAAGGGGCCGCAACCTTTACCATGAGCGATTTAGAAGTAGAGGCTCGAATGAACGGGGCCTCAGCGGTCTCGCTTCCTTTTCCTTTTAGAGGACTCCAGTAGTAGTGAAAGGCTTCTAGAAATAAAGCAGGCTTGGCAGGCGTTTAGCAGCGCATGATGCCAGCAGGGGTCCTGAGCTCAGGGATTCTCCGTGCAGTAGGGAGTCTCAACAAGACCAAGAGGTCTGTCTTCCAATTCGTTGTGTTGGCAAATAAAAGCTTTAGCTCTTCATGGCTGTAATAAATGTTATACATTGCTGACGGACTAACTGCTATTGCTTTTGATGGTACTGTGTTTGAGGGCAGAATCACAAAGGTGGAAATTAATCCCAAGGTGTAACCCACAGCGCACTTTCACACTAGAGTATGCGGTGAAACTCAAGAGTTTGAATTGTTGAAAATGTGGTGTGACCATCAAGTAACACATAATAACCTTACAACTTGAAAACATGTAAATGTACATATTTTAGTAATTATTTTTGAACAAAAAACAAAAAACAAAACAAAACAAAAATATATATATATATAGTTCAGTCATGAAACTCTAGATGGCGCAGGCTGACTGATTGTTAATGTAACTGATGATATTCAGAGAGTTAAACGACTTGGCACAAGCTGATTGGTTCATGCTGCATATGCAGCCAATGAGCTTACTGCCTTGCATTTATATGGCTGGCTAGCATTCACTTGAGATTCCTGCAGCGCGCTTTCAGAGTTTCTCTGAAACCCTCCACCTTCCCCCACTCCACCTGTATAGATCTGCTACGGGTTATTTTATTTGCTATTTGTGCAGCAGCAGTATGTCTTAAATACTCACGGCACCGTATCGGAATATGCATTGGCAGCAATACTACATACTACAGCAATTTCACACCACTGTATATATATATATATCTATATATATATTTTAAAATATTTATATTTTATTTTGAGTAATTGTCATTTTATGCTTTAAGGTCATTCTTACATTTTTGAGATTGTGTCCCCCAAAATATATCAAAATGAATTTTCATTTAAAAAGCAAACAAAAACATATTAATTATAAAATAGATGTACTCTATTATGTATGTGTGAATTTTAGTTATGCATCTTTGAGTAAATTATTACATTCATACAAGTCATGTCAAATCACTTTTATTTACATAACAGTTTATACAGAGTGTTTCAAAGTGGCTTCATAGTAATAAACAGGAAAATAACAGAATTAAACCTCTTCAAATATGGGATAAGCTAAAGTCAGTTCAGCATTTATATACTTCAGTTCAATGACAGTGTTGATGTTACACACACACACACACAAAAGGAGTGTCACGTAATTGATACATTGAAACATTATTGTGGATGCAAAATAACAATTATTCTGGCTTCACTTATTTACAATATTGAACAGCTGGCACTAGTACATGTGGTGGTACTCACATTAATGACATGAATATATGACAGTATGGAACCAAATACTCAAATGTTAAAAGAGAGATGTTGAAATTGATCTTGAGTGTGCACTACACATCTAAACCTCAATTGATGTTTTGTCTTTGTAGAATTCAAGCGAAGACCAGGGAGCTCCGAGAGCGACAGGCCAGAGAGCGAGACTACGCTGAGATCCAGGACTTCAACCGCACCTTCAGCTCCGACGAGGAGCACACCTACGCCGGGATCGGCTCTCTGGAATCGTCCCTGGACAGCAGCATGGACCTGAGCCATAACCCCGGTCCAGAGCGTCCGCAGAGCCCCCAAGACCAGGCCTTGCCCTTAGAGGCTCTCTACGCACAGGTCAACAAGCCCCGCAACGGACGCCCACCATCTGCAGACAGGTAAGAGCTCACAGCTTCTCTTCCTTCAGAATCACTGTGACGTGATGCACAGGCTGCTTTTGAGTGTTTGTCAGGGCGGTTAAGTGATACTTGGCTGATGTAACAGGACAATGACGTGCCTTGACATGTTCTTGCAAGACGCAACCTTGGCTGTGTGTTTCCAAAGCTTTGCATAATTCAAGCTAAAGTGTGTTTTCTCGCTGTCAAATATTTCTTATTTTGTAAGGTTGGATCGGGTGAAGGGCACCAACACTTTTGAAGTTTCTTTTATTGTTATAAGTTTCTCTGCAGACCTCTCTGATAGAAGATGTTCTTCTTTTATATATGTTCGTGTCTGAAAGTTTGGAAAATGAAAAGCTGTTTTCATCCACCCTTTGTAGTGTGAAACAAATTGAAAGTCAAACAAACAGTGTTATCAGATTTCTCACCTGAGTCCCAGCGGCTGCTTTTATAGCACAGGTAAATCATTGATAATTCTCTGGATGGGAAAATGTAATAACCAGCAGGCTCCTTTATTATCACGGATCATGTCAGATCCACCCTCAACGTGCACAGAATCTCTGAATTCATCAGGGTTTTTAACGGAAAGAAAAGTCAACTTTATACTAGAAACTGCTGCAATTAGCTGAACTTTAGAGTGTTTTTGACCCACTTAAATAAAACATTTCACAAAATGTACTGCTGGATGCGCTGACAAGCATTTATGGTAAACTAAACTATTCTGTAATTTATTTTGAAACTTGCATATCATGCATTTAATATGTTTGTAATACACATGTGTTATGATGAAATTGCAATTTAGTACATTTAAAATATACTAACTTCATATGGGATATTGAATAACACACTACAGGACGTACTTTACATGTGCTTTAGTCAACACATCAAAAGAAGTACTTCTTTAAAACATGACGAAGATTATTAAAACAATGATTTAAAATGCACAATTAAAAGTGTAGACTTTTAATTTGACATTCTTAGAAAGAAGCCTTTTGAAAAGTGCACTTAAGTGTTAAACACAGTCAAGTGTCTCTTTAAATACACTTAAGTGACCTTTTAATTAATATTATACCAAGTTTTTTTATATACTTTTTAGTTTTGAAATACACTACAAGTACACTTTTAATACAGTTAAGCACACTTCTTAGGAGAAACAAGCAGTTTGGGTCACTTTGTTGGCTACTGTCTAAAACTTTTATTAATGTTAACAAATGATACATCTTTTGAAAGGTCAAAGGGTTTAGTGTTAATATATGTGACCCTGGAGCACAAAACCAGCTTAAGTCGCTGGGGTATATTTGTAACAATAGCCAAAAATACATTGTATGGGTCAAAAATATAGATTTTTATTTTATGCCAAAAATTATTAGGATATTAAGTAAAGATCATGTTCCAACATTGTATGGGTCAAAATTATTGATTTTTATTTTATGCCAAAAATCATTAGGATATTAAGTAAAGATCATGTTCCATGAAGATATTTTGTAAATTTCCTACTGTAAATATATTAAAACTGAATTTTTGTTTAGTAATATGCATTGCTAAGAACTTCATTTGGACAACTTTAAAGGCGATTTTCAAATAGTTGTATCTCAGCCAAATATTGTCCTCTCCTAACAAACCATACATCAATGGAAAGCGTATTTATTCAACTTTCAAAAAATTGACACTTATGACTGGTTTTGTGCTCCACGGTCATATATGGTCTCTGTTTTACGTTATAGATGCTCCAAAAACAGTAATATAGTAATTTGTATGGGGAGTGTGAAAGGAACCATGCAACATTAAAACAGGACTTTATACCTTTAAGTAGAAACATTTTTTTTTGTGTGGAATATACTCCTTACGCCCCCCCAAACATACTTTAGTTTTTAGTTTGCATTTAAGGTCCACAGAACCATGATTTTCTACTTTTTATTGCAACTAGTTGGTGGTGTTAATATTTAGGAAGATAAAAGTGCATATACCACTGTGGACAGGATTATATTTTTTTTTGAGAAAGATTGTGCTAAAAAGTTGTCATCTTTTTGAAGTTCACTAGCATGGCATCAGAGCATGTAGACATGGACTAAAAGCTGCAGAAGTTTGAGTCTTCAGGAAGAGTTGAGAAGTTGTTTCAGTGTTGTTGATGTCAGTGTTATGATGTGTGTTACAGACACTGAATAGCTGATGCAGAGGACTGACCTGCATTTGTTCTGGTGAAATGAGAGTATTTTCTGAGATACCGAAGCAATATATTCCAAAACGCCTCACTTTGTGCTGTTGCTGTTCTCCAGCTTCTCGATTTATGGCTTGTTTTACGGTATTTATGACAAATTCACCAATAAACATCCATCAGTGTATGAAAACTAAGGGAAAGTCACTCTGTATTCACACTGAAGAATCGCCTCAATTGCTCTTTTCCTCTAGCTAGCGGTTATGAAATGGTTAGCGGTAAGTTATGGAAATGCTACTAAAGGCCAGCGTGTCTCTGTCAGGAACAGTAATGACTCTCTGTGGGTTTATTACCGCGGCGGTTAATTGGCTCGTCAGCGGCGTGAAGCAGAGGCTGTGATTGACAGGTGTCACTCAGGCTGCGTGACCTTTCCCAGGATGCTATGGGAAGGGGATTATTACGTTACCGACTGCTGTTGTCCCAGCAGGAGCGTTCCCAGCGGCCGCTGATACCCCGCCGTTCGGCCGCAGTGTGAATATGACGAGGTTACGTCCTTGTGCCAGTATCTCTGGTGGTAGCGCTCTGTCCCTAGTGTACTGCAGTGTGTGAATGCACAGCAATATTAGCATTCATTTATGCACTTATTTATTTACTTACTATGCATGCATATTACTAGGGTATTCTAATATGTGACGATGATGTATACATCTCAATTTCGAAAAATTGACCCTTATGACTGGTACACAAAAAAAATAAAAGAAAAAAAAAGTATAACGTCTTGGCAGAAAATTACTGGTACATTTCCATTATACAATACAATACAATACAATACAATACATCTTTATTGTCAACCATGGTTGAAATTTGTCTTTGACCACACCAGCGAAAACCAAATACACATACAGACACATACTACAAAACACATAAAAACCATCATACTGAATCACATAGCTTTTTGATTAATAAATCCGATCGCAGCAGGTACAAAAGACCTTTTATAAATATTTGTCTTTGCTCTAGGCATTAAAAATCGTCTCCCAGAGGGCAATAAAACAAACTGATCACACAGAGGATGAGTTGGGTCTTTTAATATACACTCCGTGTATATTAATATGCACAAAATATACATATTTAAGGACAGTTCCTTCAACCATAAAACACAACCCAATGCAATGTGTAATAAATGTGTAATAAAAATACAGGTAAAACACCTGTCAAAAAATCAACATGGAAAATTCCTTCAAAATAAAACATTACATCAGATGTTTTTAGAGTATAGTTTTACGTTAGTAGCAGTGTATAGTTGTATATGCTGTTTTGTTTAGACACAGAGAACAATCGAATACAAGAGAAAAGAAAAAAGCGATGTGAAAATGTTTGTTTTATTACCGACAGTTTTGCTCAGCGTCTTTCACTCCAGAGTGGCCTGATGTAGTAAAGGTTAAACTTTGCTGCTTGAAAACAACTGCTTCTGTCTGTCCTGCAGGATTCATATAAATGTTTCATATATGGCTTATGATACAGGCTTCTCTGTTTTCTGCAGTGTGCATATTCAGCTGTTCTGTCTGAAGATAAGAAAAGACACACATAGATATACAAAAACCCCAGAAGATGCATTTAGAGAGAAATTAGAAATGTGTGCAATTACTGAAACTAAATCTGAGCTACACTAGTTATCAACAACCTACAACCAAAACCCCTTGATCAAATACTGTAATGATTCAGCTTTATGAATTCCTGCCCATGTTCTGTTTGTTTATTAATCAGCTAAATACCCAGAAGCAAATACAAATATTTTCAGCACAGTCTGTGACATTAAGATTATCTTATCAAATTCTAGCATATTACTAGCTTGTTTTTCCTCTTCAGATATACTCATTTTAACTCTTTGCTCTCCAGTGTGAAATAATAAACGCATGTTTATTAAACTATAAGTTGCATATGGAAGGTCTTAAACAGAGAGTGCAGTTTACTGAATCTTCTCTCCTTTTAAAATAAAAATAAAATGCGTATTTCAGAAAGCAGAGTTATAAGCCTTGTCGCAAATGTACTTGACATCTGATTGCATGCAAATCATCCTGCGTATATTTTAAATAGCGAGTTTGGAGCTTTGCATATCACTTAGAAGCAAGCCTTTGTGAAATACGTTGTAATATTTGTTGCCGTGCCTCTGGAATAAATTGCACACTTTTATTGGCGTTTGGCTGCGAGGGCTGTAATCTGCATGAACGGCGTAATGCATTCACATTCAGACAGTCACATCACTCCATTTGAAAAGCCCGACTCCCTCCGTGAATCAAAACAAAGCCCAAACAAACATTTGCATTTCTAAATGAAAGCTAATAGAAGTTTCATCGTGTCAGGCTCCTGGAATAAACAGTCCTTGAGCGAGCGTCAGCTTTAGCTTATTAGGAAGAGAGGAAAAAGTTTTATCACAGATTTTCTCAGAGTTGTTTTCGTGGACGTTTAAGTGTTTATTCTCTTAAAGAAGTGTCACAGAGGAAAATAGATTTCATCTCTTTGTAGATAACATTGGAGAGGAGGATTTCCTGTCTAAAGTGCACAGAACAGGAAGTGGATAAGGCTCTGCAAATTCTGTCAATCACTGCCGCCCACTGAGGCCTGTATCCGCAGCAGAGAATCTTGTTTAGAAAAGTCATATTTAATTTATTTTCCCCAAATCAAAAGAAACATACAATACTCTGTTTAATATTCTGACATTATTTTAGCATTTTTTTCTTCTTCTTTTTTTTCATGTCAATTAGGCATAGCACTAGGGGGAGAAAAAAAACAACTTGCATTTATTTATTTGTTTGTTTAAATTGTATTTATTTTATTATCAGAT